GAGAGATTGGACTCTAGAAAGAAATTAATCCCAGTATTTCACTAGCGTAACACAATAGGAACTTGCTTATTTCCACAGTCTTAGTTAGGTGGTCAAGATAAAGAGATGGCTCTCCTTCATGTAGTGATCTAAGAACTCAAGTTTCTTCCATTTTGTGGTATACCTCTACTAGGAAAACACAATTATTTGCCTGAAGCTAGTGGAAAGGGAATGAGATGAAGAAGCAATGTGTTAGGTTTCAATAGGCCAAAAATTGGGCTACATCACTACTAGTCACATTTCAGTTCCACTGTGTGGGAAAGAATTCCACACAGCTGTACTTAACTGCAAATGAGGCTGCTAAATTTCTAGCTCAATGCCCAGTGATATGAGATCGATTTTGGTGCATGGTAATAGTGTCTCTCACAAGAGGACAAAGAGTTATTACCCATAAGCCCTACTCCTTTGCAGTTTCCTATCCCCCTTTCTTTTAAAGTGTGTATATCAAATAGCATGAGCTTCCAACCCATGTTCTTGATCAAAGCCCAGGTGTTCGCTAATGTTTCCTAGGATTCACGTATTCTTGTTTTGTAAGTGTTTACCCTTGTCGCCTATCACATCTTATTCTGAAAGTTTGCCTCAGGTTCATTTATCAATGACTTTGGATTCTCTTGTGCTGTCTTTTACCTTTTATTTGAGTGAGAATAAGGAATGTATGACATCTTCCAAGTGATCATTAAATATGTGATATGTGGTACAAAATTTTTACATAATATTTGCTATAATGCAAGGAAGTTATAACAGAGAATAACAACCAGTTTGAACAAACATCATCGCCACTATCATCACTCCTAAAATTTGTTGAGCACATCCATCTTTACTGACAGCCAATTATCTAGGTCTCTACTACACTTTTGTGCCCTATGAGTACCTTTTTAAGTGCTTACTTGTCCTTGAATCCCTTTATCCTTTTAGATTTTCAAGGCAACAAACTACAAAACATCGCCATAAAACTAGAATTTATTTTCTTTAATACATAAATCAATCCAACACAATTAAACTGTCATGCTAAGATAGAATTCTTGAGACAGAATTCTCGAGACAGAATTCTCTTCTATTACAGAATGCTTAATGGGTGCAGTGAGAATGTTGAATGGCTATTGAATGGCTAAGTGAGGGTTTGTTTGTTTGGTTTTTACTTTGTATACTATTCTTACAGTGCTAGAAGTTTATTGTGAATTTATAAATTTATTGTGAATTGGAAGAAGAATTTGCTCTACTGCCATGCAATTGTCATAGTCTACTGTTCCTCCAATTCTGAGATAGGTAATGAACTCCATAAGTAAGTCAGGTGCTTGAGAAGTGTTGCTCAGTCAGCAATTTTATCCAAGTGATCTGCCCTTCCTCTCTAATTCCTTTGCATTTACATTATGAAAAGGAGACCTAAATTCATTTAATATGGTGTTAGCATGAATGATATACTTCCATTTTTCAGAGTTCTCATTATTTATATCAAAATTCAGGAATTTCTCTTTTTCCCTGCTTTTACTGTTTACTTTTCAGCTAGTGCAACATTCCCCAGTACAGACATCTATAGCTATTGTATTGGAAGGCTTCACCTGCAAAGCAAAGGACATGGTGTAAAAAATGGAAAATTAACCAAAAATAAAGAGGAAACAATCAAAGCAACCAAAATAACAAAATTATTGGAGCCACTGTCCTTAAAATTCTATATGATAAGCATAGAAGATTCATGGTCTGTCAGTATATTATGACACATTCAGAGAAATGATTTCAAGACTACACCACACAGACATTTTCTCTCTACCATCTAATTCAATAATATTCGGGGTTGCTGTGAGCTCCAGGAAATGAATTATCATAGACACCTCACCTGTTTGATCATTAGGATTCACTGTGCTAGTCTGATATGCCCTCTTGTATGGCATTGGAGGGAAGAATACTCTCTCAAGAGTATAAAAGTAGGATTTCTATCTTTATGTAGAAACATACATGTTAGGGGTATTGTGTACACTGTGAAGCAAGAGTTATTTTTCACAGTAGAAGAAGAGAACCTGAATTAGTCATTAGTGGCCTTAGACAAATATTGAAAAATAGTTCTAAGTTATTCTCCAATGTTCCCCTTTGCCATGCCTATCACATTCCTTTGCTTGTTTACTTATACTTGGAGAGATTTATGCATGTATATGTATGTGCACACGTCCAACATGGATATCTGTGGCAGGGCTATGGCTGCTGTGGCAGTCAATAGTCTTTTGTAATCTTAAGTATTCAGTTTTGTGAAAGAATATTTTATGACACAGTGGTTTAAATATAGGCTCCTTTACCCCGTAATTTAGTCAAAATTTTTGATACTGTCCTTTAAAAAAATTACAATTGTCATGTCCCCTGTTTCTTGTGGACTTTTTCTTGACCTCTTGCTTTCTTTCTTCACTCTCTTTCTCCAACCATCTGTATTTCTCTCAATTTCTCTACCTTGACTGGAGAGAAGAAAGGAGATAATTATTAAGAGGCGTAAAATATATAATTGGTTCAGTGATCATGATTCTCATAATTCTTTTAGTTTTCTATTTCTTCCTTAATATTTTTGACCCTTTGTCAAGTGGTAGAGATAAAATAGGATTTCAATAAAGCTCCTCAGACTAAGAGATATTAACGATGTCTATATTCATAAATCTATAATTACATTTTTATGGTGATCGTCCATAAATCTAGAAAAACAAATATCTAATATTAGCAGTTAATATTTTTAACTTAATATTTGAAATAATGATCTCTTATTACCCAAATGTTATTTTTATAATACTGTCTAATACTGAAGTGTATTATAGTAAAAGTCATTTATGAAGTTAGGAGCCAATTTCATGATTTTATTATTTTATAGTAATACTTTTAACAACATTAGAAATAATTAGCGGCTTTTCTTAGAGATATAAAAGCTACTGGAAAAGGTAGGTAACTTTTTCTTTATATAATCTTATATACAAATATTGAACTCGGGATAGTTCAAAGAGAATTTTTAAAAAAATTAAAAAATAAAAACATATGTAAGACTATAATAAACATATAAATTAAATTAAGTGTTATTAAGAAAACAACACAATTTTACCTTTAAACAAATACAAAACAAAAAAAGGATGCTACATGTGTGGTGTGAGTTTGGTATATGTGTATGTGCATTTGTTTATATGTCTAATATGTGTATGTCTGGCCATGGTGTGTTAGAAAGTATATGCACATGTCCTATATATACCGATACCCATTCTGTAGCATACTTAATATCCTTAGCTATTTGTCACTTTTGATAAAACATCACTGTTATATTTGCATGTCTGTGATGGGGAGAAAATACAATCACAGTCAGAGGAAGACTGAAACATTAAAGATAAAGATGTAATGTGAATAGTACATCATTGCCTCTCTTACTGCCTGGTGAAATGACCTTTACCTGCGTCCTAATGTCCAGCCATGTCCTCAGCCATTCTTTCACCAGCGTGCACTGTACACTTTTTATTCTGTCCTGCAGAGACACCTCTCTCAAATGCCTAATTTTGCCTATAGGCAAGGTTGTACCCATATTGATAGATGAGAATGAGCTAAGGTATAAGAAGGCATTTAATACTTAAAAGCACAAAACTAATAGAAAGTTAGGAAGTACTGAACAAGTGTGATATAACATAATAACAAGAGTTAGGGTGAGGAAACATGCAGGTAAATACCAGTCACTAAAGATAAAAATAAATTATGCTGATAGCAGGCAAAACATATTGCACACTAGCTTCAAAAATAAACATGAATAACTAAGTTAAATGATGATTTTGGCATTATGTAACTGACCTAGTGAAATAGCTGTCTTAAAGTAACAACAGGTTGAACTTTACAATGGGCTAATTATTAATGACAGGAAATAACAGCTGTGCAGTAAAAACTTCCATAAAAGATTTACCCTCAGAAAGGATGGGGGAATTGTGATCTATCAAAAAACAATTTAAGTTGACACATATACCATTTTTAAAGGTCTTGACTAGAGGTATTTTTAAGTGAACCATTTTTTTTTCCAACATTCTAAAGCATCTTATTTTTCACTTAAACAAAAAAAGCTGATTAATGGTTGAAATTTTCCATATAAAATGGTCTTGACTTTCTAGTGGTTAGAGTAATAATTATTAAAACCAAAAAATGTTAACATCACAAAAAAGTTTATATTTGTTAGGAAGGGGAGTTAACATCCAGAATCTAATTCTGATTTTTATGGAAGAGTCCACTGGAGCTATAGTTAGCTATAGACATGACTTCTGGCCTCAAGGGATCTGCCTGCCTTGGCCTCCCAAGGTGCTGGGACTACAGGTGTGAGCCACCACATCCAGCCTAAAGTGCAGTATAAATCTAATGTTTTGTTGTTGATTTTCTATCTAGACAATCTGTTCAGTGCTGAGAATGGAGTGTTGAATTCCCCAGCTATTGTATTGACATCTATGTCTCCCTTTAGATCTAATAATATTTGGTTTATATTATATATCTGGGTGCTCCAGTGTTGGGTGCATATATATGTAGAATTGTTATGTTCTCTTGCATTTATTTCTCCTTGATTAGTGATTCAGGGCAGTGAATATCAAATCAAGATAATTAATGTCACAGGCTTAAATTGTAAGGAATATTAATGTGTGTGAACAAGAGAAACACACCGTTTGATGGAGAAAGAACCTTGAGGGCAGTTGAATCATCCCCCCTCCCAATCTTTTTAATGTGGAGGGAATACCTGCTATTAGTATTTCCAAGCTCTACCACTCCGAGTACAAATTAGGTCACATTTACAATACCTCACAGCTTGACACTCGGCATTAGAGACTTTCACTGTTCACCCATGACTTTTCATTGCAGTTAAATGAAGTCACGTGACTAGAATTGGCAGAGATTTCTGAATGGAAATAATATGTCATTCAGGATCAAAGCCTTGGATTACTGGTGAGAGACCACCTAGCACTGCCTTTCTCTTCCAGGTGGACTGAGGAGACGGCAAACTTCAGATGGAGCACGTATAAAGTAGTGGAAAATTTCATTAGCCTGGATTACTGAGTTGCTGCAAAAAGAATGGTTTCCCTGGTAAGCTGCTTAGCACCTCAGACAACTTTACAGAAGCTAAAAATAAGCTTTTACTGTATAACTACCAATGGTTTGTCGTTCTTTACTACCTCAATATATATTCTAGGTTTTCATGACGAATAAATGTTCATGTCACCTATCTTGACTAGTAAAAAATTCAGTCATTTTCTAGAATTTCAAAACGTGTCTAGAGTATTATACTTCTTTTGAAACAGTTTTGATGTTGTCTAACCACATATGGTTAAATGGAAATCCTTGAGGACAAATTCTGCAACTTACGTCCTTCTGCCAACTTTGAGAATGATTTTCTCAATGTATTCAACCCCATCTGTTGATCTGGGTTCGTTAAGCATCCCTGATACCTGTGACTAAGGCAGGAAGTTTGATCAGATGCCATTTCTTCTTCTGCCACACCAAACATTGGGAAGACATCTGCCAAGGTGAATGCCTTAAGTCCCAAGATTTTATAGCTTCAATGAGAAGACAAATGAAAGGAAGTGATTTTGGTCAGTTTACCCCTGCTTGTCCTTAAGGTAAGTGTAAATTTTAGGTAATTTATCTAGGCAGAAATTGTTGCATGAGATGAGATACTCTCCTCACATCCTCCAATAATTAGTTGAGAAACGTACTATCACAAAGTGGCTTGTGGCCTGAAGTGCTGCAGCTACTAGTGGAAAGTTGTTGTAGAGTCTCCAGAATCTTACATGTCTGCAAAACATTTTCACTCAGCCCTTTGAGTTGCTACTTGAGTGCTTCCTACAGCAATCTTCTGCACCAATCACACCTTTTGTGGTTCTCTTACTACTAATGTTCTTTTGGGTGCTACTCAAATGACTAGCTTGAGGTCTTCATTTTATAGCTTGCCAGATTAAATTATCTGCAATTTATCTGATATCCTGGAACCTAAGGTGTAATTATCACACATTTTGATGACCAGAACTTTTAGAAATCTGGCTCCAGGTCAAAAGCCTGTGTGTGATCTTTCAGGTCTGACTACAGGTAATTAAAAAGACCTTAACTGGAAAGCCTCATGAGGGACAGCTGTCTTCCTCATATCAGGCTTGGTGCACAGCCAGGGCACTGCAGTCTCTGGAGAGAACTGCAGTCAAACACTCAAGCCACCTGCCCACCTCAAGCCAGGCATGCTCATACTGTATATAGGCATTCCTACCTCAAGAACCTCATCTCTGAGGTTTTTGTTTTTTTCACAAGGACACCTCCACCAAGGCATTTTTCAGGCAACTTTGCCTACACTTTCTTACCGGGGGCATTTGACTGAGATACTGTGTGTCACACTAACTCAGTGTTTTTCCAGTCCTAGGTCTCCCCCTTTCAGGATCCTCAGCCACCCGGGTCCATAAAACTGCAAAAGAATTTTGTTCAGGGCTCCTCCACAGTGAGGTATTTCTCACGCCTGAATTGCGTGTCATCTGAGTGATCTGTGCCTGATATCATTCCCTGGAGAAAAACAAAACATTTGGGATATGACACATTTTTATTTGCCTCTTGCCTCCATCATCACAGTAAATGAATAAAAATTTGATTGTTACTTTTACTTTACTTCACTGCCCTAATTAACCACCATGACACCTGGCAGATCAGCAAACTTTTTCAGATGTTTTCTTCTGGGTTTAGAAAGAGGAAGACTGAATGCTCCACCATTTTCACTGCTTCTTTATCCTCTCCTTTACTACTTCTGTAAGAAGAAGCAAAACAATAGCAACAACAAAAAACACATACAAATAGAAAGAGCCAGCAGTTACATTCCTCATGACCCAAAAAGAAAATCTCTACAGAATAACAGAGTCCAAATAACTATACTATTATATATACAAAGACTTCTACATGCCAATCAGAGCATCCATTTAAAAGTTGGCATTTGTTGAGAATTCATAGTGTTTGCTGTTTCTCTGTGAATCTCATCAGTTAACCATGTAAATTGAGGTGTGTATTTTTCAGCGAAAGACTCTGTTTCTGAAATTACTAGGACAGAATTGATTATCATATCTAGCTAAAATCAGCTTTACTCTTTTGGAACTCTCTAAGTGGATGCATACATTGACAAATTCAGGTGAAACTGAATGATAACTTAAAGAGATACAAATGATAGCTTAAAGAATCGTAAAACCTGTGAAGAAAGTGTACTGCAATCACAAATGTATTGGGTAGGTTTATATTCAAAGACAAAGGAGGAAGTAGCAGGGTGAGATCTGTATGCATGTCTCTGGGAATGTTTTATTCAGTTTCCATGTTGCTAATGTACCAACATTAGTAAACGAAATATGACTTACATTTAAGTAATATTTTTAAAATGAGTGGATGAAAGAAGGAAATTGGTACATACTGAAACTACGATAGCCTAATATGATTACTTCTCTTAGAATTAACTTTTTTTCTTGACATAAAAATAATTCCCTATTGTTCCTCTGAAATGATTATTAGAAAGTATTAAAATGTAAAACACTATTTCCATATCAAGAAATGTGGCTTTATTATGGAATCTTACGTTAAAAGAAAGGTCATAAAACATTATTTAGTGTGAAATAATATTTGCAAAATTGGTTCAAAAAGGGCAATACAATAACATTAAAGATGTGTGGAAAATACATATTGATGGCTAGAATTATACTCCGTTTATCTCAATATGCAATTGATACCAGAATAAATACTAAAAGTTTTCTCATATAGACGTATTTAAATACATTATCTGCTTTCAAATGTCAGTTGTGATAGGAGCCAAATCCTAAATAAATGAACAAACCCTTACACTCTGGAGCATAACTTTCTCTAAAGATACGTAACAACCCAAAATTCCTGCTGAAGACTTACTCTAAAGACGACATGCTTAACTTTAATGTAGACATTTTGGAGGATCAACATACAGACACAATACATACATCTTTTTTTATTATTATATTATTATTATTTTGGAGATGGAGTCTTGCTCTATTGCCCAAGCTGGAGTACAGTGGCATGATCTTGGCTCACTGCAATCCCCACCTCCCAGACTCAAGGGCTTCTCCTGTACTCCTCAGCCTCCTGAATAGCTGGGACTACAGATGTATGCCACTATCACTCGAACTCCTGACCTCAGGTAATCCACCTACCTCGGCATCTAAGAGTGCTGGGATTACAGCTGTGAGGCACCATGGCTGGCCTCACAGCATCTTGATTTATTATTCTAAAAGAGAAATAAAAATAAGAATATGGCTGAAACAAAAATGACTAGCAGAGCATAACAGCATCTCTAAAGTACCTGAAAACCAAAGGAGAACAGGTCAAGTGAAAAATAAAAACAAAACAAAGGAAGAAGAATTGTATTTTTGCAAGTAATGGGAAAAAATGAGAACACTGAAGAGATAAATTATACCAGCTAAATGAAATTATAAAGATCAAAATCACCTGATAAGGCTGACAGACCATGGACACACACACACACATACACATCATATGAAAGCCACATAACAATAAAAATACTCACCAGTTTATGAAATAACTTTAATGCTGTGGCAAGTCCCTTTGAGAATACTCAGTTGATTATTATTATTTATTATTTTTTGTGTGTCTGTCGGTGTCTCGCTCTGTCTCCCACGCTGGAGTGCAATGGCATAATCTCAGCTCACTGAAACCTCCAACTCTGGGATTCAAGCGATTCTCCTGCCTCAGCCTCCCAAGCAGCTGGGACTACAGGCACGTGCCGCCATGCCCAGATAATTTTTGTATTTTTAGTAGAGATGGTTTTTGAGACCAGGCTGGTCTCAAACTCCTGACCTCGTTATCCACCCATCTTGGCATCCCAAAGTGTTGGGATTACAGGCATGAGCCACTGAGCCCCACCTCAGTTGGTTATTAAAGAAATAAATCAATCTTTTAAAAATTCATTTATAGTTTACGTAGAAAAAATTGCAAATTTGTGAAATCATATTTTATTAGCAATATACTTTTAGCCAAAAATTATAAATTTGATAAGCCAATCACTTAATTGACATTATAATCTGAATACCTTGCTAGATAGACCATATTATTTTTTTCATCCAAGCATCTGATACTTTACTGTGATAAATTTGTTTTTTTAACTTTTTGTGTGAAAATTGAAAAATGCCAATTTTGTAATTGGAAAGCAAGTCTAGAAGCTGAGAGGTAGCATTCTTCTTTGTTTAGCTGAGTGCTTCAATGTAAACTTTTCTGGTATCACAAAACTCCTATGCTCCGCTTCATGTACTTTTAATTTTACCTGTCTCCAGAACATTAGGTCACATGTTCTGACCTGGGTAAAAACTGCAGCGAAAAATATGCATATGATCCAAATAACTATATGAAGGCACAATCCAGTAAGAACTCACCTCATAACGTATGACACACTTACTGCTTCCCATTCCCTGCTGATATTAAATGCTGGAATGCTGTGAAACCTGCTGGTGTCCCCTATATGCCATCAGAACGTGCAAGGAATATAATGTCCTATGGAGCAAACCACTGATCAATGGGAAATGAAACCTGGCAAATAAAAAAGTATTTTTCTCCTTCCCTGTAATAGGTTGTCCTGAGAAACATCCATTTATATTGTCTAAAGGAAGATGACATTAAAATGGCAAACACTGCAATTACTTTTGCGCCAACCTAATACTTGACAAAAACCAGCTTGCTAATACTCCCTTGTTATTTTTTCCTGTTTTACTTCCTTTTTTCCCCACTTTCTGTTCTCCAGGACATACAACTCTATGGAGTAGGAGGAAAGCTTCCTTGGCTTCAGATGCTACTGACGTAGAAAGTAAGGCCAAGGTAGTTGAAGCCAGGATTACTCTAGAAAGCAGCTGCTGTGGATAAGATCTGAAGCTAGATTATTATACACAGTGATATAATGGACATTGCAAGGCATGGCGGGGAGCTGGGTATAGATGAAGAAGGAAAAATTACCTATTGGATACAATGTGCACTATTCAGGTGACAGGTACACTGAAAGTTCAGACTTCACCATTATGTAATTCATCCATGTAACA